TTATCTTTACCATTTGAGTGACATGCGGCATGAGTTCCAGAGCAATTCTTTTTAAAAAATCTTTCTTCACTGCCCTCAATAACCGCACTAAGTAAGATGACCGCTGTAGCTGTAGCTATTTCAAGGTTTTATTGCTCAGCCATAAAAATTGTCATGATATTGAACACTAAAATGACTGTGACAAATGGGTGGCAATTACATTTCATTACAATTCGTAGTAAGCTTGCTACTAAGAAGATTTTTCAAAGCCTTTAGCTCAAGCATGTCAAACTCAAAGGCTAACATGAGTCAAATAAATGAGGCATACAGCCCTCGGGCCACGAGTTTGACATTGCTTGCTTTAGCTAATTTCCTAATGAGGTCTAAGATTTGTTCAAAGGGTACATGGTATGGAAAATAACGGGCATCTTTGTCCAAGGCTCTTGTTTTATACGAGAATGTGGCTAGCGCTGAAACCGGTTTGGCTCAGTGGATAGAGCATCCGCCTGTGGACTGAAAGGTCCCGGGTTCGATTCCAGTCAAGGGCATGCACCTTGGTTGCAGGCACATCCTTAGTAGGGGGTGTGCACGAGGCAGCTGGTCAATGTTTCTCTCTCATTGATGTTTCTAACTATCTATCCCTCTCTCTTCCTCTCTGTAAAAAATCAACAAAATATATAAAAATGTTTTTTTTAAAAAAAAAGAAAAGAAAAGAAAGAAAACATAGCCGGAACCCCAATATTTAAAAAGAAAGAAAAAAAAAGAATGTGGGTAGGTATATGTATGTAGGTAGTGTATGGGTATATGTGGGTGTGCGTGTTTATACATATATGATGTATATTTGATTTTGCATATATCTTATCAATGCCAAGGACAGAGCCAGACCTCAGGTACGTTTAAATTCAGCTCTTCAGGAAGGAAACAGCTGTTCCTTTCATCTCTGTCCCATGGGAAGTTAGCAGGAACTTGGCTAATGGAAAATGCAGGTTGTATTCCAAATAGGCTAAGTCATGAAGATTCTGCCTACGCTTTTGTGTTCTACAGGCATCTACTTGTACTCTTAGCTCTTCCAAGCCAAAAAAAAAACGCCGAGGTTTTGTTTGTTTGTTTGTTTGTTTTTTAATGTATTGTGGTTATTTAAAAGGAAGGTTTTCACCATAGTTGTGTGTTTTAAAATTAGTATTTGTGCTAAAGTTGATATAAACTGGAACCACAAGAAACATAAGGCCTTCGTTTTTCAAGAATCACATTAGCCATGCCCTGACAGCGTGGCTCAGTTGATGAGTGTCAACCTATGTATGAACCAGGAGGTCACGGTTTGATTCCCGGTTGGGACCCATGCCCAGGTTGTGGGTTCAATCCCTAGTGTGGGGCATACAAAGAGGAAGCCAATCAATGATTCTCTCTCATCATTGATGTTTCTATTTGTCTCTCGCTCTCACTTCCTCTCTGAAATCAATAAAAATGTATATATTTAAAAATCAAGCTAGCCACATTTTTCCGTCTGATAGAAAGTAGAGCACTTTGTAAGCTTCTGCTTGGCTTGGATTGTAGGTCCCCGACCACTTCTTTGGCTTTTATACACATTAAGCAGTCCACTGTCAGTTTTTAAACTGAGGTAGAGATTACCCAGGTGGATGGATACATCTTAAACCACTTGGATTCAAGACTGATATAGACAGGCACCAAGCACCATTGATTCCCAAACTGTGTGGAGCTCTAAAAAGTTAGCATTTATTTTTATGACATTTTTCACCAGCAAGAATTCTACATGGCATATAATTATTTTAAAGATTTTTTTTATTGACTTTTAAAGAGAAAGGAAGGGGAGAGGGAGAGGGAGAGGGAGAGGGATAAGTAGAGGGAGAGGGAGAGAGAGGGGGGGCGGGGAGAGAAGCATCAATGTGAGAGCAAAACAGAGATCAGATGCTTCCCCAAACCCCCTTCCAAGGATGGAGCCTGAAACCCAGGCACATGCCCTGAACAGGAATCAGACCAGCATTCCCTCGGTGCAGGGGACGGCATCCATCCAGCGGAGCCACACCATCCAGGGCCCAATTACTTCTTCATGGGGTTGTATCTACTTTCCCGAGAATGTTTCCTGGCGCCTCCTCAAGCTAACTGGGCATATCTGGGAGCGCTGCAGAGCCAGCCCGGACATCACTGGTCTGCACCTGAGACAGCAGGACTGTGGGAGGGCACATGCTGTTTCCAGCTAAGAGCGGAGGGAGAGTTCTGCCACTCATCAGCTGCCTGTGGAGAGAGAGTAGGAGAACAGGTTGCTCTTAGCTTTGCCAGAGAAGATGAGCTGGCAGCGTTCACCTGTTCAACTGGCGTCACTCTCTCACCTGCTGCATTTCCAGACACATTTCACACACCCACACCCAAGAATCCGTGCACCCCTCTCAAACCCTCATGCAACCGAGCTACTTCCACCTAGAGCAGTGGTTCTCAACCTTCCTAATGCCGCGGCCCTTGCATACAGTTCCTCATGCTGTGGTGACCCCAACAATAAAATTATTTTCGTTGCTACTTCATCACTGTAATTTTGCTACTGTTAATGAATCATAATGTAAATATCTGTGTTTTCCGATAGTCTTAGGCTCCTCAGCAGTGGTTCTCAACAGCTCTGGCAGCTGTGCCCTGTGCTTGCTGGGCCCAGTAACCAGATGCTGTGAATTCAAAGGCCAAGGACACATTAAAATCACCAGGGAAGCTTTTGAACATCCCACTGTACAGCTAAGTGTGAGACCCATTGACCTGACATAACTCGGCAAACTGCGACTCGAGAGCCACATGTCCCTCTTTGGCCCCTTGAGTGTGGCTTTTCCACAAAATACCACGGCCCGGGCGAGTCTGTTTTGAAGAAGTGGCGTTAGAAGAAGTTTAAGTTTAAAAAAATCGGCTCTCAAAAGAAATTTCAATCGTTGTACTGTTGGTATTAGGCTCTGTTGACTAATGAGTTTGCCGACCACTGGCCTAGTCAAACTGACTTCACATTTTGGGGGTTTTGCCTGTTGGTTTTCAGCTAAATCATCTCTATGTGGCTCATCTGTAGACTATTCTTGCCAACGTAGCTTTTTCATGGCTTCGTAAATAGGAGGTGAGTTCCTTGTCTCTTGAGCTCCTGCCTCTCAGAATGGAGACGTTGATTGTCCCAGACTTTCTGTCCAAGCCACAGAGAAGGTGGTGGCCTGATGTGGCCTGAAGGATGTGGTTTGAAGCAGTCATAGTCCATAGCACCGTGGAGTTCATGGGGGCTCAGGCAAAATCACGGAGCCAGTCCCTCCGGATCTGGGATGTGAGAACAAGACCGTAGAAACTCAAAGGCAGCTGAGGTAGTTCAACGCTTATTGAAGGCAGCTGACTCCAGTAAGAGAAAACAAACGGTGACTGGTTTGTGAATGGCTCGTACCGTTTAGGACATGAGTGAGTGTCATTTGTCTGCTGGCCAAGCCATGTGGGGCCCTTAACCAAACTTTACCTTGCCTTAGGACACTCTGAAATCGCAAAGTTACCCTAAGTATGGTACGGGTATAAGGGGCTACCTGAGATTATTGTACGTGGTGCATGAAAGATCATCCTTTATTTAATAAAGTTGTATTTGTTTTTCATATATGTGTGAAAATATCTAGGTGGCACACAAACACATAATTTTACAATCATCCTGGCTTTGGCGACATGAAATGTGTCCATTTAAAGAAAAATCTCGGTACTATTACACACATGTGATACTCATATATGGAAGAGGAAAAAGACAAGGAGCTTGATAACACTACCAGATAGCATTTTGTAACAACCGTGATCAGCTTAAAATTAAAGTCGGTATTCTTTCTGCTTCCCCAGTTACCATTTTAGGGAGGAATAAGGGGTGGGGGCGGGGGGGAGTAAAAAGTAAGAGAATGGAAATTAGGTCTTTGGGATATGGAGGGTCCTATGAAATGACTCTCAGGGGAAGCACTATTATTTCAGCCAGAGTAATTCTCAAGAAATGGGGAGCGGGGGGGGGGGGGGGGGGGGGGGGAAGGGGGGGGGCCTGGAAGGGGAGGGAACACTGAGACCCACTGCTGTGTCGTATTTCTCCAAAATTACTAAGCCAGCAATATCTGCAACAGTCTTGTCTTCCTTCCTTCCTTCCTTCCTTCCTTCCTTCCTTCCTTCCTTCCTTCCTTCCTTCCTTCCCTCTCTCTCTCTCTCTCTCTCTCTCTCTCTCTTTCTGTTGGAAATGAGAACTGCCTCGGGGACACCAGATTTTCTTAAGTTTTCTATAGTTTACATCCAACATCATCTTGTATTCGTTTGAGGTGTACAGCATAGTGATTCCACAATCACATAACCCCAGTATTCCTGGTACCCACCGGGCGCAGTGCATACTGGTCGTTTATATTTCCTATGCACCAGTCTTGCTCCAACCAAAATTCAAACTAGAAAACCCAGCGCCTGCTCTCTGCCCGCACCTGCCTCTTGGGTAGGTGGCCAGTGTCCCTTTAAGAGCAGCTCACTGCCAGGTGTGGGGCGTGTGGGCAGGATAAGAGGATGAGAAAGGCGGGGGCAGGGGAACCCCACGGCCCCGCGCTACCTGCAAGTTGGCTGGCCCCGGGCTGGCTCCCGCTAGGACTTCGGGGGCAGAGAACAAGGCAGCCACGTTGGTTTTCCCGGAGGAGGATAGGGGCGCCAGGGCAAACAGCCCTGGCAGCTGTGCCCTGGGCTCGCTGGGGGAAGGGCCTTCCCGCGCTTCATTCAGGACCCCGTCTAGTCTGGATGGGCAGGATGTGTGTGTCCGCGCTTGGCTCTGGTGTCCCCGAGGCAGTTCTCATTTCCAGGGGTTTGGTGGTCGCTGCATTTGCTCCCATGAGCGAGGCCTAGGGGCCACGCAGGCCTGCTTAGCAGCTCGCCTTCCCCCACGCCCAGGGGGTTGCCCGCTGCTGCGCCCCCCGGCGGCTGCCTAACCCAGAGCACCTGTGGCTGGTTTTTGCCGAAGTGGCAGTGCATCTAACCCAGCACACCTGTGGTTTTTGCAGAAGTGGCAGTGCATCGAGGACGCGGCAGGCAAGCTGCGCATCCACAAGTGCAAGGGCGCCGGGGACCTGCTGGCCGCCAGGCAGAGCACCCGCAACCTCTACCCACGCGGCTTCCAGGACAAGGAGCAGGAGTGCCACTGCGGGGAGGCGGCCTACCGCGCCCGGAGCCAGAGGAAGAGCCAGCGGCAGTTCCTGAGGAACCAGGGCGCTGCTGCAAGTAAGCCCCAGGCCCGGCCCTCGGGCTACCCGCCAGAGAGGAAAGCCGCCCCCCCCCCCCTCGCTCTGGCTACAGTTACGATATTAACCATGCATAGTGTTAGGGTTAACCAAAGCCAATCACCGCCCTGGTTAAAATAACGAAAGCTAAGATAACTTGAGTTTTTGCATTGTAAACACTCAAGCATAGAACGCAAATGTATCCAGTAAAAGCAGCAGGCACAACACGCAGACTATCAAGGGGCCCAGGGTGTGTGTGGAGTCCAGGTAAGTTTTACTTTAGGTTGATGCTAATGTCCTGATGTTTTCTGCCTTAATCGCTTAAAAAGAAAAAGAAAGAAAAGAAAAAGAAAAAAATCCAAAGTTTCAGGGTTTGTGCCTTTAGTAGGAAAAGTATAAATATCGATACTATTTTTGAAGGCGTATCTGTTTCAGGACAATTTTTAAAAAATTATTCTTTTTGGCTGGCAGAGTCAAACTAGTTGAACTAAGTGTGAAAATCATTGCCTAGTATTTTCTTTATAAAAAGTCTTAGCAGGCAGTTATGAGGTGGTCTTTACTAATATATAGATAGGAAAACTCAGTCGCCTACCTTCCATAAAAGAATGGGAGTCTAGTGCCATCTAGTGGCGTAATATGAGCAGTAACTCGTTTCTGTGGTCCGTCCTTTCTATATTGGTTTGGAAATAACCAAGATATGTAGAAATTCAATTCTGTGTCCGAAATTAGGAAATCAAATCAGTAGGACGGTGGAAGCCCTTAAAACAGGATCTTATTGTATATTCTGGGTTCCACCGGTGCACTTCAGGGGACCAGAACCCCCCTACCATCCAAAGTTTTAAATATAGTCTATGTGGTGCTCGCTTCGGCAGCACGTATACTAAAATTGGAACGATACAGAGAAGATTAGCATGGCCCCTGCGCAAGGATGACACGCAAATTCGTGAAGCGTTCCATATTTAAATATATATATATATATATTCTATGTGTACATGCACATTTTTCGGGATGCTCATAACTTCCAACAAAAATGGAAGTCTAAGAACCGTTAATCTGGGAGATTTTCTTTCCTCCCTGAGAGAAAATGCTAGGCTTAAAAATGTATGTGAAGATATCAGATGTAAAACCCACAAGACATAAAGACCCCCTGAGGCGCTCCCTTCACTGAAACTGATTATCATGTTCAGCTGAGAAGTAGAGGCAGCTTTTTCTCTCCCAGGAAGTTGGATGTGGCTCCAAGCACTGTTCCTAAAGTGCATTGGTTTTTCAATCCTGAGCACAAACTAAAGAAGCCTGGGGCGCTCTTTCAAGCTGTGTGGGATCTTACTATTGGAAAGCAGGGGGTGTTTCTTCATCTGGAAACTGCCCTCAGAGCAGGATTCTGCAGAGGGAGAGATGATCCTGATTCCGCAGCCAATAGGCTTCCCTCTTCCCTATTCTAGGAAGGCAGGGGGGTTAGGGTAGGTCATATGAGCAAGCTCCACAGAGACAAGGTGCACCTGGTAAGCAGGGACCAATGTTTGAACATTAAAGCTCTTACCTAGCACACTGAGCCTCCACAGGGGTCTGTTGTGACTAGAGGTAGGGCTGGCCCTCCATTTGACAGGAATGAAGAGACATTTGGCTGATGGAAGCATGTGCCCACTTTAGTTTTTCTGCCTTAATTGCTTTAAAAAAAAAAAAAAAAAAAGGCAGAGTAATCTATTATTTGTGCAACTAGCCAGAGTCTAGAGCACATGTGTCAAACACAAGGCCCACGGGCCAAATCCGTCCTGCCAGGCCTTGCAATGTGGCCCGCACCCGCGCTGTCATCACTGCACTCCACTGCGTTTCCATCACAATGACAGTTTATGACTGTTCAGTAAATCATTCGGCCCGAGATTTTGGCTGGATTTTAGATTTTGGCCCCTTCTCTGATTGAGTTCGACACCCCTAGTCTAGAGCATTTGCCATTCCGCAAAAGCATCTCAATGGAGTAGGAAGACTGGTTTTTAGAATCTGAAGTACTTAAAATCTGAACCTATTGACTATATCACCTCGCAAAATGTGCGTAACATTGAAAGCTCCTGTTCTCTCACCCATAAAATAAGAACACCAAATTCATCAGCCTGTTTGGATCATCTGATATTTTTTAATGGAAAGACATAATACCTGTCTTTTAAGATTCGAGGTAAGTACCAGATGAGTATTACATAGCAAAAAGCTCCAAAAAAAATGAGTTACCATCATTAATACCGGAATGGGGGCTGTAGTTTTATTCACACGGCCTTAGAAGTTCATGTTGAAAACTCATTGTAGACGTTCACAGCCTGCCCTTAAGTGGGAAGGGCCTTAGCAATCACTCAGCGGAAGGGCCCAAGGCCAGAGAATCATGGTGGCCATTCACACCACCATGGTGCCCCTCTGTGTACTGCGTGCCCCTTTCCAAAATGCTCATTGAGCCACGTGGTCGTTTTTTTCTTACCCCCTCATGTACATCTGGACATGGTACTAATGTGTCTTCCCTCATTTCCAGAGTACAAGCCCAGGTTTGTGCACACCCGGCAGACACGGTCCTTGTCGGTGGAATTTGAGGGCGAAGTGTACGACATAAACCTGGAGGAAGAGGAGCTGCACGTGTTGCAGCCAAGAAGCATTGCCAAGCGTCACGACGAAGGCCACCAGGGGCCAGGAGGCCGCCAAGCTGCCAAAGGCGGCGACGGGGACGCCATGCTGGCCACCAGCGGCAATGCCGTGGCCCTGCCCTCCACCGTCCGAGTGACCCACAAGTAGGAAGGGGCTTCGTGTGGTCAAATGGTTGAGTTCAAAGTCATCCCCGCCTACTACCACCATTTGGTCCCTTTAAGAAGAGCATCGGCCTGCGGACTGAAAGGTCCCGGGTTCGATTCCAGTCAAGGGCATGTGCCTTGGTTGTGGGTACATCCCCAGTGGGAGGTGTGCAGAAGATGCTGAGCAAGCCCTGCCGAGATGTTTATCTCTGGGACTGGTCCCAGGTGCCTGTGGCTATAGTTATATGCTTAGAGGAGATTGAGACCAGCATTTGTTTCTCTTACATTATGTGATGACCTCATATCCCACCAGTTCCCTCTCCCTGGGGCTGCTGCTTTGCTTCAGAGTAATGGGGCACTACAGGCAGGCTCTTTGTAACGACGTGAATGCGATGAATAAGCTCCTGCTCACTGCATTTGGACAAGGGAGTCATTTCCATGATAGCTGTGGAAGCCTCTCTTTGCCTACAATATTCGATGGGGCTTTCAAAGGCTGAGTGTATCTTTTCATGGGGACAGAACATGTAGAGCTGCCTTGGAAGGTAATCTGAGTGGTGATCGCTCAGCATCTTCTGCCCACACCAGTAGTCCACTTACCCTGCTGCAAACTATAGCTGGTTTCCCAATGAAGGGGTTAGAGGACAGCTAAGTTCCCTTGGCTATTTCTAATGCTTTTCTTGGTATTCGAATATAAACCTGTTTCTAATGCTTCTTGTTCGTTTTGGCAGGTGCTTTATTCTTCCAAATGATACCATCCATTGTGAGAGAGAACTCTATCAGTCAGCCAGAGCGTGGAAGGACCACAAGGCATACATTGACAAAGAGGTGAGCCGTGAGATTGGAAGCCCTACCGGGGGCACATACTGTGTGTGTGTGTACATCATCTATACTAATAAAAGGGTAATATGCTAATTAGACCAGGTTGATGGACATCTTCCAGTCTTCTGGTTCTTCTTCCAGACAAAGCCATGATGGCAGGGGCCAAGGCAGAGGCAGTTAGGGGCAATCAGGTCAGCAGGGGATGGTAGTTGGGGTGATCAGGTCAGCAGGGGAGGGCAGTTGGGGTGATCAGGTCAGCAGGGGAGGGCAGTTAGGGGTGATCAGGTCAGCAGGGGAGGGCGGTTAGGGGCAATCAGGTCAGCAGGGAAGGGCGGTTAGGGGTGGTCAGGTCAGCAGGGGAGGGCGGTTAGGGGTGATCAGGTCAGCAGGGGAGGGCGGTTAGGGGTGACAGGTCAGCAGGGGAGGGCAGTCAGGGTGATCAGGTCAGCAGGGGAGGGCGATTAGGGGCAATCAGGTCAGCAGGGGAGGGCGGTTAAGGGTGATCAGGTCAGCAGGGGAGGGCAGTTAAGGGTGATCAGGTCAGCAGGGGATGGTGGTTAGGAGTGATCAGACAGGCAGGTAGGGAAGTGAGCGGTTAGGAGCCAGTGGTCCTGGATTGTGAGAGGGATGTCCAAGGGGTCCTGAACTAGAGAGGGTGCAGGCCGGGCTGAGGGACTCCCCCCAGGCCCCGTGCATGATTCTTATGCACCGTGCTTCTGGTCTGTTTATAATTATGTGGAAAATAGAACAGCAAGGTGTTTCTCATTCTCCAGTGAGACAGTGATAGTCCTGACCAAAAAAAAACAAGAATGTGAGGAGAGAATGGGAACCAATTCAATGACCTTTTGAAATTTCTATGATAAAATAATTGGGTTATAAAAGAGGCATCTGTCCGTGTTTGTGATAAGAGACATCCATTGGAATATAGAGGGAAGTAGCTTCTATGCTCAGTTCGTCCCCAAATTAACTATCATCTCGGATGAATGGCTACGATCGTGGAACACAGCAGTAAGGTGAGAAGGAAGGTAGTTGGCACAGACAATCCTGCCGATGTAATTGTTGAATTGCCTGTTTCCCAGATCGAAGCTTTGCAAGACAAAATTAAGAACCTGAGAGAAGTGAGAGGCCACTTGAAGAGGAGGAAGCCCGAGGAGTGTGTCTGCAGTAAACAGAGGTGAGCCTGGGCCCTCCCCCTGGTCTCCTTTGCAAACTCATTTTTTGCACAGCCTGCTTAGCATTTGGCCTGCCCCTCGCTTATACCAACAGAAAGCCTAATAAAATGAATTATCACGTATTTATAGTGACCTAAAATATCTCAATCGAATTAAATGTTGTAAACCCAAATAGACAGTAAAGTGGGGAGGTGGGGGGGAGAAACACATTTTAAAGTCCCACTAAGCTGAGATAGTTACAACAAAGTAACTGCCTTCTATTTGCTTGCTTTTTATAAAAATGGGCTGTGTAACAAATGCATGCCGATGAAGACTCACTTTTTCATTTTCTTGCCTGTAGCTACTACAATAAAGAAAAAGGTGTGAAAAAGCAAGAGAAACTGAAAAGCCATCTCCACCCATTCAAGTAAGTGACTCTGTTTCCCTCATTTGCAAGGCTGCAGCGACTCCTGTGAGCCTGCTCCGAATAAAAGTAGATGCAGCTGGGAAGGCATGTAGCTCCAGAAGGTGAAAGCAGGCCCACACCTTGCCGAGGCCCCCTCTGGGGGCAGCCGAGCGGAGTTCTGGTCTGATTCTGTGTGGGCTCTTGCTGATGCTGGCGCGTACCTGGATTTCAGTGTGTGCTATCGAGCAGCCAGCTATCGTGGGGAATTCCGAAAGTTGGAAGAAATACACTTTTTTTTTTTTTTCAATAATAAGTAAAATTTGCCGGGGAGGGAGATTTCGTATATGAGTTTCAACAGAATTTGAGCCCCTTCTGGAAAAACCAAGATAATAAAAAGACAATTCTACCCAAGCCTATATTGTCAGATTGGTCAAAGGATTTTAGAAACCTTATAATGTGGTGGTTCTCAACCTTCCTAATGCCTCGACCCTTTAATAACAGTTGCTCATGTTGTGGTGACCCCCAACCACAAGTAAATTATTTTTGTTGCTACTTCATAACTGTAATTTTGCTACTGTTATGAATCGTAATGTAATTAGGCAACCCTGTTAGCGGTTCTCAGCCTGTGGGTTGAGAACTGCCGCTGCAGAGCCTAAGACCACGGGAAAACACAGGTATTTACATTACAGTAACTGTATTAAAGGGTTGCGGCATTAGGACGGTTGAGAACCACTGGTCTAATGCAAGCCATCTCGTGCAGCTGTTGACTGCATGGCTGCCGGCTACTGAGCCACGGGGAAGTGAAGCCTTTTGTCCAGAGAGGGAGCTGGCAGACTGCTGCTCCACAGGGAAGAAAGTGTTGATGTTGAGGGAGAATTCAGAGAGAGTGTCACAGTGAACGGTCCTATTGCTGATTGGAGGGCCTCTGTGGAAAACAAAGGTGGTCTGTCATTGCATGTCTATTATTCTGTGCCTCAATACTTGTGCGAGGTTTTAGCAACAACCCTATTTTTAACTAACAAGTTGCTTTCTGGTCATTGAAAATGTCTCCCCCCTCCCACCCCCCTTTTTTTTTTTTTTTTTAATTATGAGCTTTATTTATTTTTCCTTAACAAGTTTTCCTTTTTTTAAATCTTTATTGTTGAAAGTGTTACATATGTCCCCTTCCCCCCACTCACTGACCTCTCCCCGCCCTCCCCAGACTCCAACCCAAGCCTCCACCACCCTATTGTCTGTGTCCATGGGTTATGCACAAATGCATAAAAGTTCATTGATTGGTCTCTTTGCACCCACTTTCCCTCCCCTGCCTTCCCTCTAAGGTTTGAGAGTCTGTTCTATGTTTCGGTGTCTCTCGATCTGTTTTTGTTCATTGGTTTATGTTGTTCATTAGATTCCACATGTGAGATCATGTGATACTTATTTTTTCCCTGACTGGCTTATTTCACTTAGCATAATGCTCTCCAGGTCCATCCATGCTGTTGCAAATGGTAAAAGAGTTCTTTCTTTTTTATAGCTGCACAGTATTCCATTGTGCAGATGTAACAGTTTTTTAATCCACTCATCTGCTGATGGGCACTTAGGCTGTTTCCAAATCTTAGCTATGGTAATTTGTGCTGCTATGACTATAGGGGTGCATATGTCCTTTCTGATCGGTGTTTCTGATTTCTTAGGATATATTCCTAGAAGTGGATTCACTGGGTTCAAATGGGAGTTCCATTTTTCATTTTTTGAGGAAACTCCGTACTGTTTTCCACTGAGGCTACCCCAGTCTGCATCCCCACTAGGGCAGTGGCCGGCAAACTCATTAGGCAACAGAGTCAAATATCAACAGTGCAACGATTGAAATTTCTTTTGACAGCCCATTTTTTTAAAGTTAAACTTCTTCTAATGCCACTTCTTCAACATAGACTTGCCCAGGCCATGGTATTTTGTGGAAGAGCCACATTCAAGGAGCCAAAGAGCTACATGTGGCTCGAGAGCCACAGTTTGCCGACCACAGCACTGGGGTTCCCTTTTCTCCATAGCCTCACCAGCATTTGACCTTTGTTGATTTGCTGATTATGGCCATTCTGATAGGTCTGAGGTGATACCTCATTGTTTTCATTTGCATCTCCAGTGATTGGTGACTTGGAGCATTTTGTTTATATACCTCTTGCCCTTCTATATGTCCATTTTGGAAATGTGTCTATTTGGGTCCTTTGCCCATTTTTAATTGGATTATCTTCCTTTTGTTAAGTTTTGTTGAGTAATCTATAAATTTTGGAGATTAACCCCTTATCGGATGTATCGTTGGCAAATAAGTTCTCCCATGCAGTGGGTCTTCTTGTTGTTTTTGTTGATGGTTTCTTTTGCTGTGCAGAAGCTTTTTATTTTGATATAGTCCCATTTGTTTATTTTCCTCTTAGTTTTCTTTGCCCTAGGAGATGTGTTGGTAAAACTGTTGCTACCAGAGATACCTGAGATTTTGCTGCCAATGGTTTCTTCTAGGATTTTTATGCTTTCACGTTTTACATTTATGTCTTTTATCCATTTTTAGTTTATTTTTGTGTATGCTATAAATAGGTGGTCTAATTTCTTTCTTTTTCTTTTTTTTTTTTTTTTTTTTTTTTTTTGCATGTATCCAATTTTCCCAACATCATTTATTGAAGAGACTGTTTTGACTCCATTGTATGCTCTTGCCTCCTTTGTCAAATATTAATTGAGCATAATGGCTTGGGTCAATTTCTAGGTTTTCTGTTCTATTCCATTTATCTATATGTCTGTTCTTGTGCCAGTACCATACTGTTTTGAGTACAGTGGCTTTATAGTATAACTTGACATCTAGTATTGTGATCCCTCCAATTCTCAAGATTGCTGCAGCTATTCAGTCTTTTTTTATTCTATCTAAATTTTTGGAGAGTTTGTTCTGGGTCTGTGAAATATACTGATGGTATTTTAATAGGGATTGTGTTGAATCTATAGATTGTTTTGGGTAATATGGATATTTTAATGATGTTAATTCTACCAATCCATGAACACATTATAGTCTACCACTTGTTTATATCTTCCTCTTTGTATAATGACCTATAGTTTTCTGAGAACAAGTCTCTTACCTGCTTGGTTAAATTTATCCCTGAATAGCTTAATTTTTTGTGTTGCACTGGTAAATGGGATTTTTTTAATTTTCTCTTTCTGAGAGTTCATTATTGGTATATAAAAATGACATAGATTTCTGTGTGTTATTTTATATTTGTTTGTTTAAAGTATTACAAATAGTGGTACATATGTTTCCTTTTTTCCCCCCCATTGACCTCCCCCGGGCCTTCCCTACCCTCCAGTACATGCCCCACCTGCTCCACCCCTCCACCCCCCGGTGTCTTGTATCCATTGGTTATGCTTATATGCATGCATACAGGTCTTTCTGTTGATCTCTTTAAGCCCTACCACCACCACCACCACCAACCTCCCCTGCCTTCCAGCTGTAGTTTGGCAGTGTGTTCAATGCTTCTTTGCCTCTGTATCTATTTTTCCCCATTTCTTTCCTTTAAAAAATCTTGCCTCTGCAGATTAGTAATAAACATATAATAACAAAAAATGTTTGAGTCCCAATTTCAATGTCGAACAGTTCTGAGTCCCCGTTTCAATGTCAAACAGTTCCTTATCTGTACAAGTCAGCCATGATATCTGGATGGTGGGCACATGGTGACAATGTAGATCAGACCTCTCTGGTTTGGTCCTAGGCAACCTGTAGTAATGCACAGCTGCTGACTGCTAGCATGGCAAGGCGTTGTCAGCGTCTTCCATCTCTGGACTGTTTCTCCTCTTGTCTGTGGTTGGAGCAGACCTGTCAATTCCTCTCTGAAAATATACAAACATATGTTCGACCAAAAGTTAATAGAGGAATCTTTTCTATAAATTTGACTTGGGATCCTTTTTATTTTTGCCCAAATGATTTTCCGTTGTCTTATTTAGACACCATGTGTGTTTTTCATGGGTGTCTTACTTTTAGCATTACAAATGAAAATTAATTTTGTAAAGTAAAAATTTTCTAGATGTAATTTACTTATAGGATATTTTTCCTTACATGATATTACCCTACTGCCCCCCCCTTTTTTTATTAATGGAGGCTCTTGTAACTTTTATAATGCAGTCTTGATAACTTTAAATTTTTATTTTTTGCACATAAAATATGACTGCTTTAGGTTCATTACATGTTCAGGAATTTTACCATGTGATGAACTACCAATAGAAATTTTAGTTACTACTTTAGGAACAGCTTTTCATCCAGTACAATTAAATTTTCTTGAATATTCACTTATTTCAATTAGCCTATTTAAATTAATCTGAAAACTTGGTTACTATTTTACTGTCAAATTTAATTCTCTACCAACAATCTTAGTTTTCCCTGTAAATATTAGTGGAAAGGATTATTTGCATTCTTGAGTAGGCCCTGAGCATCCCTGGTGCTAGGCTGGATTTAGATATAGGGCAGCTGCTATCCACCAAGTCTCTGTTACCTGAGTCCCGATCATAGCTGGGCCAAGTCTCTGTCTCCTGTGTCCCAATCTGAGCTGGGCCAAGTCTGTCTCCTGTGTCCCAATCTGAGCTGGGTGTGGGAAGCAAAGCAGCCATGAGGGCAGGATACCTCCCTCTGAAGGAGGGTTCAGGCCCCTGCAAGGTTGGGGGGTTGAGGGTTTGTGTCCCACCTATGTTGACCCCCCAAGTTCTCTCCTGATGGCCCCCTCTCCGACTGTGCCTATCTTAGGTTGTTCCTTCCCTGAGGAATCTTACCTGTCTCTGGCTAACCAGTCATGCTCCGGAGCCAAGCAGGGTGATGTGAGGTTCAGTTCTGTCTCCTTGGTAGCCTATGCCCCCATGGCCTCCACACCTAGCACCTGCCTTGGGATCCCCTCACCTGCTGGTGGGGCCCCAGCACCAATCACATAACTTAGGGAACTCGGGTTTCTTCTCCAGGGAGGACCCAGTTCACATGACTGGGTGAGAGACAGATCCATGGTACCAGCCACCATGAGGCTTCAAGCTCAGCATGAACAGAAAGCTCGGGCAACAGCTGTGGACAATTGGATTGTGAGAAGAGGGTCCCCCTTGGCACAAAAGGCAAGAGGAGCCAATATAGAATGCTCAGTTGCCTTCCCAGTGCCTTAATTCCTTCTGAAAGGGATTAAATCCTTTCATGTCCTTTTTAAAATTGCTGCCAAACATTCAAAGAATTCGTTTGTAAGTTTGTTTGGGATAATTGTACAATATGCTGTTGTAAGATATCTAAAATTATAATGACATTGTAGGATAATATCATATAAGGATATTCTTTGCTCTAGGTCATGGCAATTCGATTTCAAACTGGCTGTCAATTTCTTTTTGTAACTTTATATAATATAAATTTTGTCAGGGAGGCAAAAACACAAAAACACAAATTCAAGAGGCCAAATACATTGACTTTCTTTTTCTTTCTTTTTTTTAATTTATTGATTTTGTACAGAGAGGAAGGGAGAGAGATAGAAACATTGATGAGAGAGAGTCATCGATCAGCTGCCTCTTGCACACCCCCTACTGGGGATATGCCTGCAACCAAGGTACATGCCCGTGACCGGAATCGAACCCGGGACCCTTCAGTCCCCAAGCTGACGCTCTATCCATTGAGCCAAACCGGTCCCGGCCAAATACATTGACTTTCAATTGCAATCCTTACGACTTTTGAAGGAAACATCTTTGTTCCCTTCCAAAATAATTATGAGGCTACAGAGAGTTTCATTGAAAAATTTTTGTCACATGAAACCATTTCTCTTAAGATTATAGTGATCACTAGTATGGATTAGATTTAATTTTTTATTTTTATCTTATTTTTTTAAATAATTATTTTAATTTTAATTTTTTACATGTGTCCTTATGTCCCCATAACCCCCCTCTCCCCAATTATGCCCCACTCCCTTGTTGTTTGTGTTCATTGATTCAGCTTATATGCATGCTCACAAGTCCCTTGGCTGATCTCTCTACCTTACCCACACCCTCCTCTACCTTCCCTGAGGTATTGATGTTCGGATCGATGCTTCTCAGTCTCCAGTTCTGTTCTTGTTCATCAGTCTATGCCATTCAATATATTCCACAAATGAGTGAGATCATATGATATTTATCTTTCTCTGCCTGACTTATTTTGCTTAGCATAATGCTTTCCATCTCCACCCATGTTGTTGCAAGTGGTAGGAACTCCTTTTTTACCACAGCATAGTATTCCATTGTGTAGATGTACCACAGTTTTTTAATTCATTCATCTGCTGATGGTTACTTAGGCTATTTCCAAATCTTAGCTATGGTACATTGTGCTGCTATGAGCATAGGGGTGCATATATCCTTTCTGATTCAAGTTTCTAGTTTATTGGGATATATTCCTAGAAGTGGGATCACTCGGTCAAATGGGAGTTCCATTTTCAGTTTTCTGAGGAAACTCCATACTGTTCTCTACAGTGGCTGCACCAGTCTGCATTCCCACCAGCAGTGCAAAAGAGTTCCTTTTTCTCCTCATCCTTACCAGCACTTGTCATTTGTTGATTTGTTGATGATAGCCATTCTGACAGGTGTGAGATGTTACCACATTGTTGTTTTGATTTGTATCTCTCTGATGATAGTGATTTTGAGCAGATTTTCATATGTCTCTTGGCCTTATGTCTTCTTTCAAAAAGTGTCTATTTAAATCAGTTGCCCATTTTTTGGTTAGGTTGTTTATCTTCTTTTAAGTTGTATGAGTTCTCTGGATATGTTGGAGATTAAACGCTTATCATTGATATTATTTGCAAATACCTTCTCCCATAAAGTGGGCTCTCTTGTTGTTTTATTAATGGTTTTCTTTGCTGTGTAAAAGCTTTTTTATTTTTGATATAGTCCCATTTGTTTATTTTCTCTTTAGCTTCCATTGCCCTAAGAGTAGTATTAGTGAAGAACTTCTTTTGGCATATGTCTGAGATTTTGCTGCCTGTGGATTCCTCTAGTATTTTTATGATTTCCCGTCTTATGTTTAAGTGCTGTATCCATTTTGAGTTTATTTGTGTGTATGGTGTAAGTTGGTGACCTAGCTTCATTTTTTTTTTTTTTTTGCATGTAACTGTCCAATTTTCCCAACAACATTTGTTGAAGAGACTGTCTTTATTCCATTGTATGTTTGTGCCTCCTTTGTCAAATATTAATTGAGCATAGTGATTTGGGTCAATTTCTGGATTCTCTATTCTATTCCATTGATCTATATGTCTGTTCTTGTGCCAGTACCAGGCTGTTTTAAGAACAGTGGCTTTGTAATACAGCTTGATATCTGGTATTGAGATCCCACCTTCTTTGTGATTCTTTCTTAGGATTGCTGCAGCTATTCGGGGTCTTTTTTTTTTTTTTTTTTTCAGATAAATTTTTGGAAAGTTCGTTCTAGGTCTGTGAAATATGCCATTGGTATTTTAATGGGGAGTGCATTGAATTTAGAGATTGCTTTGGGTAGTATGGATATTTTGATGATGTTGATTCTACCAATCCATGAACATGGTATGTTCTTCCATCTGTTTATGTCTTCCTCTATCTCTTTTTTCAGTGTCATGTAGTTTTCCATGTATAGGTCTTTTACCTCCTTAGTTAAGTTCATTCCTAGGTATCTTAATTTTTTTGGTGTGATGGTAAATGGGATTGCTTTTTTAGTTTCTCTTTCTGTAAGTTCACTATTGGAGTATAGAAAGGCCATAGATTTCTTGGCATTAATTTTGTATCCTGCTACATTGCTGAATTCATTTATTAAATCTAGAATGTTTTTATGGAGTCTTTTACGTACAGTATCATGTCATCTGCGAATAAGGACAGTTTTACTTCTTTTCCAATTTGGATGCCTTTTATTTCTTCTTGCCTGATGGCAATGGCTAGTACTTCCAGCACTATATTGAACAAGAATGGTGAGAGTGGTCATCCCTGTCTTATTCCTGTTTTTAGGAGAAATGGTTTTAGTTTTTGCCCATTGAGTATGATGTTGGCTGTGGGTTTGTCATATATGGCTTTTATTATGTTTAGGTATGAACCTTCTATTCCCACCTTGCTGAGAGTTTTTATCAAGAAAGGGTGTTGGGTTTTGCCAAATGCCTTTTCTGCATCAATTGATATGACTGTGGTTTTTCTCTCTCAATTTGTTGATTTGTGAATATTGTACCATCCTTGCATCCCAGAATAAATCCTACTTGGTCATGGTGTATGATCTTTCTGATGTACTGCTGGATTCGATTTGCTAGAATTTTGTTGAGGATTTTGGCATCTATATTCATGAGGGATATTGGCCTGTAATTCTCTCTCATTGTGTTATTTTTTAAAATATATATTTTATTGATTTTTCACAGAGAGGAAGAGAGAGGGGGGTAGAGAGCTAGAAACATCAATGAGAGAGAATCATTGATCAGCTGCCTCCTGCACACCCCCTATTGGGGATGTGCCCACTGGAATCGTACCCAGAACCTTTCAGTCCCCAGGCCGATGCCCTATCCACTGAGCCAAACCGGTCTCGGCTCATTGTGTTATCTTTATCTGGTTTTAGTATTAGGGTGATGCTGGTTTCATAGAAGGAGCTGGGAAGTGTTCCTTTCTCTTGAATTTTCTGGAATAGTCTGAGGAGGATAGGTTTTAGTTCTTCCTTGAATGTTTGGTAAAACTCCCCTGTGAAGCCATCTGGCCCCAGGCTTTTGTTAGCTGGAAGCTTTTTGATAACTGCATCAGTTTCTTCCCTAGTTATCAGCCTATTGAGATTTTTAGAATCTTCCTGAGTGGTTTTGGAAGGTTGTATTTTTCTAGGAATGTGTCCATTTCCTCTAGGTTTTTTAGTTTGTTAGAATAGAGTTGTTCATTGTATTTTTTTAATCCTTTGTATTTTTGTGGGGTCTGTTGTTATTTCACCTCTTTCATTTTGTTTATTTGGGTCCTCTCTCTTTGCTTCTTGGTGAGCCTGGGTAGAGTTTTATCAATCTTGTTTATCCTTTCGAAGAACCAGTTCTTGGTTTTGTTGATCTTTTGGGGGTTTTTTTTGTGGGTTTTTTTGTCTCTATGTGATTCATTTCTACTCTGATCTTTATTATGTCCTTCCTTCTGCTCACTGTGGGCTTTTCTTGTTGCTCTCTTTCTAATTCTTTGAGTTATTGAGTTAGATGATTTATTACCATTTTTTCTTGTTTTTTGAGGTAGGCCTGTAGAGCTATAAACTTCCCTCTCAGTACTGCTTTCATTGTGTCCCATAGCATTTGCATTATTTTTATTGTCCTTAGTCTCCAGGATGTTTTTCATTTCTTCTTTGATCTCATTGATCACTGGGTGTTAATTTTATAATTCTGCTACATTGCTGAATTCATTTATTAAATATAGTAGTCTGTTAATGGAATGTTAAAAAAAATAAAAGACAATATGCCTTCTATGGGAATAGGGAGGCCGCCCAGGAGGTGGACAGCAAGCTGCAGCTTTTCAAGGAGACCCGGAGGAGGAGGAAGGAGAGGAAGGAGAAGAAGCGCCAGAGGAAGGGGGAGGAGTGCAGCCTTCCCGGCCTGACCTGCTTCACTCATGACAACAACCACTGGCAGACGGCCCCCTTCTGGAACCGTGAGTCCCCGTTCTTTCTCACTGCCTCTACAGCCACCACAGAGACACAGTGATTCTACTGCAGGCACGTACACGAGGCTTTCGGCAGATGCAACCAGACTCTGGAATCATCCGGATTATCTGGAATAAGCCGAAGAGATTATTTCCCATCCTGGCAACTAAAATCATTTTGCCAAAAATTGCTTATTATATTTTTAGAAATTTGTTTTCATATTTTGTTTGAAAATGCTGAGCTCTCTCTGGGTTTTTCTCCTGATGTTTCCCACTGTACCCAGCCTCCCAGAAAGACTGCTCTATAGCGAATCAACTAAATTAACGAAGCCAAATTTATCCCAAACATACGTTTTTTCTATCTCTAGTTCAAGTTCATACTCTATGTATGACACAGGAAGTAAAGCTCCTCAAAGGCAGGGTCTATATCCTACTGAGTCAGTCCCTGGCACTGTGCTTGCAGAATATTAGGGACACCGCAAAATAGCTGGTTTTACAGGATCGCTGAGGATATGGAATACACTTGCGCACTTGTTTATTTTAAACCTCTCCCAAGAATATTTTTTCCATTGATCTTGGAGGAGAGAGAGAGAGAGATCAATGTGAAAGACATATTGACTGATTGCCTCTCGCACTTGCCCAGACTGGGGCAGGGATGGACTGCAGCTGAGATATGTGCCCTTGACTGGGAATCGAATCCACGACCCTTCCATCCATGGGCCAACGCTCCATCCACTGAGCCAAACCGGCCAGGGCCACACTTGTGTATTTCCAATTAATGCTTATATTGCTATGGTGGCTTGGCTCACAGAGAAATGAGGCCCTAACTTCTGTGGCATGTTATCTGGCTGAAGGCCTGTCACCCCCTGGGTCAGTGTTTCTCAAACTGGGATTTGGAGGACTGGGATTTGGAGGTGTGCAGGAGCCCCAGGCTATTCTCGGGGAGGAGGGAAAGGAGAGGAGAGTGGGTTTAGGGCTTATCTGTGCAGCTTCGTTTTTATGCCTTGATGCTTCTTATTTTAGTGTCCATGTTTGCATTGAAGTCTGCAGTCACATGAAGGCTGAGCAAACGCTTCAAGGGGTAGCATTTAACTTTTTTTTTTTTTAATATATTTTATTGATTTTACACAGAGAGGAATTGAGAGGGACAGAGAGTTAGAAACGTCGATGAGAGAGAAACATCGACCAGCTGCCTCTTGCACACCCGCCACTGGGGATGTGCCCACAACCAAGGTACATGCCCTTGACCAGAATCGAACCTGGGACCTTTCAGTCCGCAGGCCGACGCTCTATCCACTGAGCCAAACCGGTCCCAGCAGCATTTAACTTTTAATGTGCTTTCCTAAAGCGGGGTGCGGGGATCTCTAAGGGTCAATCAGATGGCTGGGGTCTGTTCTCCGCCAGGCCCTGGGCTGGCCCCTGTGGACACAACAATGAACAAGACGTACCTCATCCTCTGTCCTCATGACACATTCTAGTGGGGACAGGCAGTGGGGGGAGGTGCCATAAAAAAGTGAAGTAATTACAAAGTGTGCTGATGCTATAAGAAGAGGGTTAGCGAAGTTATTAAAAGGGACCGTTTCGAGAGGGTGGGGCTGAGGGGCCTTTCTGAAGAGTTGACGTTTAAGCTGAGACCTAAAGGATTCAAAGAAGCAGCCGGTGTGAAAGGGGGTCCTGGGTGGGAGGGGGCAACACCCCAGGCAGAGGGACCAGCAGGAGCGGGGTCCGGAGGAAGTGACACATTTGTTGTCAGGGCTGGCAAGCCCTTCAGAGATGAAGCATTGAGAAACGTGAAGCTGCAGTTTGCTCGTAACTCCCACAGGAGGTGACTCAGACCTCTCCAGCTGCTCCCACCTGAGCTGTGACCATCCCACCATGTCTGACCTCAGACTCTGCAAAACCCATGTGTCTCCCAGACACTTCTCTGGCTATTGCCAATCTGCTCTGTTCAGAGGATTTAGAGTCATCGCTTAGTGATATTCGGTTTTTCGTAAGATAAAGAGCAAATAACCCTTATCCTGTCACAAAGCCCTGTGTCCACATTCCTGCTTTGCTCGGACCCATCTCCTCCCTCAGCCCCTCGGCTTTTCTCCTCAAGCACCTGCAGCCCCTCCCACCTCAGGGCCCTTGTACACACTGGTCCCTAAAGGCGATGACCCAGCACTGACCCGAAGCCCTGTGCCTATCACAGATCGACTCACCCTCCCAGTTCCCCTGTAACCTCACTTCTCACGGAGACCGCCTCTGTGCCTTGGGTAACATAAACCCCTTTCCTATACTGTCAGCCCATTGGTTTTCTCCATGGAACTCAGCCCGTTTGTGATTGCACAGTTTGTACGGTGTGTGTCTTTTTCTAAGATTTTCTGCTTTTGGCTTAACATTTGTTAAGTCCCCGAATAGACTGTACGTTTCTCAGGATAAGAGACCAGGCCGTGCCTGTGAGAGGCTGGACCCCAGCACAAAGGAGATGCTCCATACATATTAGCTGAATAAACAAGTAAACAAAGACCTGGTCCAAAGTCAAATCAACTCACATCTCCCAGCAAATCCGTACAGAAAAGGGGGTGGGGGAGGAGAAAGAGATAGTTATTATTGCTATCTACCCACCGAGGACTTTTAAGAAAGAAAATGTGAATCTTAAAGCATCATGACGAGGCAGCATTGGATGGCTAGCCTGCCTCCGTTTTTTTGTTGTTTTGTTGTTGTTTTGTGGGGGGTTTTTTTCATTCCTTCATTCGTTTTCTTTCCCCCCCACAGTGGGCTCCTTCTGTGCTTGCACGAGTTCTAACAACAACACCTACTGGTGTTTGCGCACCGTTAACGAGACGCATAATTTTCTCTTCTGCGAGTTCGCCACCGGCTTCCTGGAGTATTTTGACATGAACACAGATCCTTACCAGGTAAGCCCGTGTGTTCTCCCCCCGCGGAGGGGACTGCAAACGGAACAAGCAGAACAGGAGCCTAACTGGGTGGCCCGGCCTCTCCGCCCGCAGCTCACCAACGCGGTGCACACGGTGGAGCGGGGCGTTTTGAACCAGCTGCACGTCCAGCTCATGGAGCTCCGGAGCTGCCAGGGCTACAAGCAGTGCAACCCGAGACCGAAGGGCCTGGACGCGGGTAAGGAAGCACCGTTTGTTTGTTTGTTTTCTGTCACCGGGAAAGTCCTTTGTGTTTCCAAGTCTCCTGCCTTTGTGTAGATGCACAGACACATACACTTGCAGGGAAATCGACTCAGACCATTCCAAACACAGTTTCCTCCCTAAACGTAGCGCTGGGTGCCTGGGTGAGAAACCGAACGAACGCACCAGGAGGTTGGGTGAGCCTTGTGTCCCAGTCCCTCCCACAGGACTCCTGCTGGTAAACCTAGGTTCCGGAGAGAAGCATCCCCTGGAGGACGGGATGAAAGCACGGGGGAGTGGTTTGTTTGTGCTGTCAACAGTCATGAGACATACGCTAGGTAAACCAGGAGATCCTTTTTTTTTTTTTTTTTTTTTTTTTTTGAGAGAGAGAGAGAGAGAGAGAGAGAGAGAGAGAGAGAGAGAGAGAGAATTTGGACGGAAGCACACTGTGCCCTGAGAGAGAGAGAGAGAGAGAGAGAGAGAGAGAGAGAGAGAGAGAGAGAGAGAGAGAGAGAATTTGGACGGAAGCACACCGTGCCCTGTTTTGACTTATCACAATTTGGAAATCCCCCAGTTGGACCCACGCCCATGTCGTGGTGTGTTGATTCCTCTCGCTGGGATATTCCACCTGAGGTGAGAGCAGTTGGAGCCATTCATTGTCTAGGGTTCTAAAAGGATAAGCGGGGCCTGTGTGGGATCGAACAGATGTTCCCTCCCCCATCTGCAGAGCTAAATTTATTTCTCCTCTGGCCCATGGGGGTGCACTGTTCGTCCCGCCATGAAGGAGAATACCTATTTTCTCAGGATCCTCCTAGAGATGTAAATACCAGCTGTCCGCAGAAGGACGGAGGAGGGGACCGGAAGCTGGCCATGGTGACGGCACAGTATTACCAGCCCCAAAAGGGTGGGTGAAGAGCTGGACACGGGCTGCAGGGAGCCATGTGCAGGAACCTCTGTTGTGAGGCTGAGTTTTTGTGTTCTTCACAGCCCATTGTCTCCGTGGGGTCCACGCAGCTCCGAGTCATTGCCTTGAGCGGTGGAGGGTAGGGGGATCCTAAAAGGGCCAGCATCCCCACCTGCCATCCCCACCATCGTTGGTCCTGAAGGCTCTCGAGCCGGGAGAGCCCCATAAGAAATTACAGACCCCACAAGAGGGGCCCTGTGCCCGCTGTCCAGCCACACATACACACACACACACACCACCAGCGCCTCCGGAAAGGACTGACAGCCCCGAGAGTCCAGTCCGACTCGCAAACCAGGTCTTTTGGTCCCTGACCCCAGTCCGCTCCAATCTTCCCAGATCCCCTGCTTATCTGTGAACCTTTCCTTCAAATCTTACAACAACAACAAAAAAGCCCACAAAGGCCTGGGAACTAAAACGATTCTCTTTAGAGGCACTGGAAACACGACACCCAGAAATGTCTCCCCCAAAGAGCACCGCACGCTGATTGGTGATGACGGAGCAGCTCCCTTAGTGAAACCTGACCACGCGGGCCCGAGGCAGAGTCCCAGTTATGCCCTCAGATCTCACGTCGTCCTCTCCGCTTTCTAGACGGTCCCTCAGGGGCGGGGAGAGGAATTATTGGCCCTTTTCGCCAAGTGTTTTGTCTAAAAATAACCTCACTGTAACGTTCACCGAGACCCGCACAGACTTCTGGAAGCACTTTCTTACTGTTTTTACAAGGCCTCTCCTCCTCTCTCCACCCCACCCGTGTCCCATGTGAGAGCCCCCATGTGATTTACCTTAAACCTCTTTTATAGCTTTTGATCCTCGTTTGGAACCCAGAAGCTCTGTTGGACCTCGGCACCGTCTGCGTTTAACACGTTCTATTTCTCTCCAGGACATAGGTGTGCTGGGAAATCTGTGTAGGGAACGGTGTTATGAGGCCTCACACTAACCTACATTACTCTCGTATCTCCCCCCATCAGGGAATAAAGATGGAGGAAGCTATGACCTGCACAGGTATGCACCCTTTTTTATTCTCCCCCCAATAACTGCATGGCCCAGCCATTCCGACTAATTTCCGTTTCTCACCTCATCGCACAGCACCTCGCTGGGGTGCGTGCTTTTCCTAACGGCGCTGGCCACCGCCTCGGGCCATGGGTTCCAGATCTGTCCTTCCGTTTTGACATCAGCTCGCTGTCACCACGGGATGTCCCAGAGCACACTCCGGTGCTCGTGTGCTTGTTGAATGATGCTTGTCGGCGTGGGAGGGCATGAAGCGGGGGCCTGGGGAGAGGGGGGGAGCATGAGGTTCCCGTGGTGCTGACACATGGATTTCCTGGAGAGGCTTCATGGAAACTGGTTATTAGAGACCTTTATGAAGTAGAACTTCGAGAGCACAGAAAGAGTGATGGATTTTATATATATATATCTTTTAATTTATTTTTTTACGGAAGGGAGAGGGAGAGAGAGCCAGAAACATCGCTGAGAGAGAAACACTGATCAGCTGCCTCCCGCACAACCCCCACTGGGGATGTGCTTGCAACCAAGGTACATGCCCTTGACCGGAACCAAACCTGGGACCCTTCAGGCCGACGCTCTATCCACTGAGCCAAACCAGTTTCGGCAAGAATGATGGATTTGAAGAGCATTCTAAAGCGGCAGCGGGAGGGGTTACTTGTTAGCAGTTCCTGATGAGGTTGCTGGTGAAAACCAGCAGGGATGTGACTCACAAGGCTCTGAGGGCGCTGGTGGTTGAAGAACAGGTGCTGGGGTTGGGGACAGGGAGCCAGGAGTCAGGCATGCAGGGAGGTGTCCACGTAGCTCGCAGGCAATGCTGCTCGACACGCCAACTCCCTAACAGGCCTCGGCCCAGTGATCCTGTCCCCCTCCAGCCCCACCAGCCCTCCTGCCTCCTCATGCTCCAGACCAGGGGCCCAGCTGCCTGGTGGCCATGCTCCTTGGTCACCCGGCATGTCAGCCCGTGCCCGTTTTCCACTCCAAGCACAGACCTCAGGCGGGTTTGTCAGAAATAGGCCGGGTAGGGCAGGATGGTCTGTCCTTCCCACCTCTGCTTTGGGGCAAGCAGGCACCCATGTGTCAGCACCCTCGATAGTGAATCCTCTGGGGAGGGAAACTTCCGTCAGAGGCACGTGGACTTCAGAAACTAAAGAACGTCAGTGTTTCAGGGCTCCCTGTCCACATCCCGCCCCTCCTTTTAGAGGGCTGCTCAGGTGGGACCAGAAGCGAACTGGGAGGAACAGTGGTGGGAAGATGTGAGCAGAGGAAACAGGGGAAGCTGGGCTTCTGAGGCTGCTGAATAACGTTTCTGTATCTCTTCTTTTTCTCCCCTCCTCTCTGTCGTCTCTCCTGTCCTCCATCTGCCCCCGCCCCGCCCCGTATCACCCGTAGCCCACGTAGGACCGAGCAGAAGAACCCCCTCCTAAGCTGGTCTCACCCGGGATACGGGCTGACGAGGTAATATCCGCTACGCCTGCACTGCTTCCGGGGGCTCATAATGACCCCTCCGAAGTGTGACCTGTTCCATGGCCCCAAGGCTGGATATTGTCTTTATGGTTATTTTGCTGTGCACCCAGATTTCACAGCCAAGGGGTTTTCGGTGTGGCCTTTTGTGTCTCTCGCGGGAGAGGCAAAGGATAGGACAGGTTATTAGGACACAGGCTGGTCAGAGCTGGGTCAGCGTTCTTCTCCATTTCATCTTCCCTGGAGATGAAAGTGCTGACCTGCTCTCCAGCTGGGGCTCTCCCTTCCCTCATCCCTAAACGAGGCCAACTCCGTCATTTCGGAGGTTGGCGGGCACGGCTTTGAAAGCCTTAGTCAACGGAGCCCCCCCTCTGGTCTTGTGCCACCGAAAGCGTGTGTGCAGGGTGAAGACCTGTTGCTTGTTTCTCTCCTCAATCCCTTACCAAAGGCCAGATCTAAGGACACTGTCTAACGCAGAGTGCCTGCGTTTTCATAAGATAAGCCACCATTCCGTCACTGGTGAGGCAAGTCAGCTTTCCATGGCTGCCTTGCTGCAGGCAGGAAATCATGGGACAGGGTTCCTGAGGGCATTCGCCTGTCACACCTGGGCACTCGCTGGACACCCAAATGCTGAGTTGGAGGTGGCTTCCCCCGCTCACTGTATCCTGTGGGGATTGAAGGGGCGCAAATGCAGAAGCAGCCACCGTGTGAGTGTGTGGAGTCTCCAGGTGGGTTTACCAGCACGCCACTCTCCAGCCAAGGCACTGCTCAGGGGTTCAGAAGCCTTGGCTCTTTTTAAAAAAAAAAAAAAATCTTTATTGTTGTACTACATATGTCCCCTTCGCCCGCCTCATTGATCCCTTTTAACCCAGCCCACCCCCACCCCAGGCCTTCACCACCCTATTGTCTGTGTCTATACTTATGCATACAAGGTCTTTGGTTGATCTCTTTCACACCACCCACTCACCCCCACCTCCCCTCTGCGATTCCACAGTCTGTTCCATGCTTCTGTGTCTCTGGATCTATTTTGTCCATCAGTTTGTTTTGTTTATTTGATTCCACCTTTGAGTGAGATCATGTGATCCTTGTCTTTCTCTGACTGGCTTATTTTGCTTAGCATGATACTCTCCAGGTCCCTCCATGCTGTCTCAAAAGGTAAGAGATCTTTCTTTATCGCTGCTGCATAATATTCCATGGTGTAGATGTACCACAGCTTTTTTATCCATTCATCTACTGATGGGCACTTGGGCTGTTTCCAGATCTTAGCTATTGTAAATTGTGCTGCTATGAACATAGGGGTGCAAACATTCTTTCTGATTGGTGTTTCTGATTTCTTAGGATATGTTCCTAGAAGTGGGATCACTGAGTCAAATGGCAGTTCCATATTTAATTTTTTGAGGAAACACCATACTGATTTCTATGATTGCTGCACCAGTCTGCATTCCAACCAGCAGTGTACGAGGGTTCCCTTTCCTGCACATCCTCGCCAGCACTTGTCATTTGTAGATTCATTGATGGTAGCCATTCTGACAAGTGTGAGGTGATTCCTCATTGTCATTTGAATTTGCATCTCTCTGATGACCAGTGACTTTGAGCATGTTTTTATGTCTCTTGGTGAGAAGTACCCTTTGGAGAAATTTTCATTTAGGTCATTTGCTCTCTTTTTTTTTTTTTTTAATTGGATTATCTTCCTTTTGTTTAGTTGTATGAGTTCCTTATATATTTTGAATGTAATCCTTTATCAGATGTATCATTGCCAAATATGTTCTTCCTGACAGTGGGCTTCCTTTTTATTTTTGAAAAATGGTTTCTTTTGCTGTGCAGAAGGCTTTTATTTTTATGTAGTACCATTTGTTTATTTTCCCCTTAGTATTTTTTGCTCTAGAAGTATCTGCAAACATATTGCTATGAGAGATAGATTTTGCTGCCTATGGTTTCTTCTAGGATTTTTATGGTTTCACGACTTATATTAAATTTTTTCGTGTGTGTGTGTAAGGTGGTGGTCTAGTTTCATTTTTTGCATGTATTTGTCTAATTTTCCCACCACAATTTATTGAAGAGACTGTCTTGACTACATTGTATGCTCTTGCCTCCTTTGTCAACTATTAATTGAGCATAATGGCTTGGGTCAATTTCTGGGTTCTCTGTTCTGTTCCATTGGTCTATATGCCTGGTCTTGTGACAGTACCAGGTGGTTTTGATTATAGTATAACTTAATACCTGGTATTGTGATCCCTCCAATTTTGTTGTTCTTTCTCAAGATTACTTTGGCTTTTCAGGGTCTTTTTTGGTTCCATATAATTTTTGGAGTATTTGTTCTAAATCTGTGAAATATACTCCTGTTGATTTAATAGGGATTGCGTTGAATCTATATACTGCTTTGGATAGTATGGGCATCTTAATTGTTAACTCTCCAATCCACGAATACAGTTTATTCTTCCACTTGTTTATATCTTCCTCTCTTTTTTCATAGTCCTATAGTTTTCTGAGTACAAATTTTTTACCTCCTTCATTAAGTTTATTCCTAAGTATCTTAATTTTGTTGTTGTTGTACTGTTAAGTGAGACTGTCTAGTTTCTCTGAGAATTCATTATTGTTGTATAAAAATGCTATTGATTCGGGGTGTTAATTTTGTATCCTGCTACATTTCCATTTCATTTATCAAATCTAATAGTTTCTTTGTGTGTGTTTTTTTTTGTTTTTTTGTTTTGTTTTTTTGTGTGTTTTTTTTTGGTGGAGTCTCTAGGGTCTCTAGGGTTTTCTATGTACAATATCATGTCATCTGCAAATAATGAGTTTTGCTTCCTCCTTTCCAATTTGGGTGCCTTTTATGTTTTCTTCTTGTCTGATGTGGCTAGGACTCCCAGTACCATGTTGAATAAGATTGGTGAAAGCAGACCTCCCTGTCTTGTTGCTGTTCTTAGGGGAAATGATTTTAGTTTTTTCCCATTGAGTATGATGCTGGCTACAGGTTTGTCGTGTGTGGTCTTTATCCTGTTGAGGTCTAATTTTTTTCGCCCACCTTGCTGAGTGTTTTTTATCAAAAAAAGGTGTTAGATTTTGTCTAATGCTTTTTTTGTGTGTCTATTGATATGATCATGAGATTTTTTAATTCAACAAAAATTTATTTCAATATACTTCTTTAAAAAAGTGAAATAAATGTAACAGCAATAGAAAGGAAAAAGTAAATCCATTTCAAAGAAATAAAAAACCAACATTTGTAATATTCCTTGAAAAAGCATCATGTGGTGATAGATTTTGGTCATTCTTGTCCCAGTTCACCTCGCTAGACCCAGCCCAGGAAATGGGAAGAGACCCAGGACTGTCTGAGACAGCTCACCCCTCTGGCTGAATAAGGGTTGCAAATGAAAGCTGTATGTTGACCCACATAATCGTTTTATAGTTTATAAAATGAACAAGCCTTACAAACTGGGCTTGTGCAATTCTCCTTTTCATCTGTTTAATGCTGATGGGAGGCGGGTGTGGGGATTTTAAGGTAGCCTCGGCCCTCAGGCTTCACACATGAAGGACTGTGGGCCGAGATGTGGAGGTTTAAAGGAGAAAAACCAGAAGTCTCAGAAGCCAGGATTACCTTCCCTCAGCTCTAGGATCATGTGATTTTTGTCTTTCAATTTGTTGTTGAGATGTGTCACATTTATTGACTTGTGAATATTGTACCAGCCTTGAACCCCTCAAATCCCACTTGGTCATAGTGTATGATGGCTTTAATATATTGCTGGGTCCTATTTGCTAATATTTTCGTTGAGGATTTTAGCATCTATGTTCATCAGGGATATTGGCCTGTGGTTCTCTTTCTTTGTAGTGTCTTTATCTGGTTTTGGAATTAGGACAATGCTGGCCTCAAAAAGAGGTTGGAAGTGTTCCTTTCTCTTGGATTTTTGGAATAGTTTGAAGAGGATATTTGTTCCATAAGCCTTGGTTCTTTAAGAAAACTAATTAGGCCGAAACCAGTTTGGCTCAGTGGATAGAGCGTCGGCCTGCGGACTGAAAGGTCCCGGGTTTGATTCCGGTCAAGGGCATGTACCTTGGTTGCGGGCACATCCCCAGTAGGGGTTGTGCAGGAGGCAGCTGATCGATATTGCTCTCTGTCTCTCTCCCTTCCTCTCTGTAAAAAAGCAATAAAATATATATTTTTAAAAAACCTAATTAGGATGCATTGTTAAGCATGAAATATCATTACAAAAGCCTTTGAGAAATATGACAAGCAGCCCTGAAGAATTTAAAATTTGAAAATTCAAGTGTACTTTAGAAAATTTCTCTTGTACAAGATGGACTACATAAGAGTTTTTAAACTACCTTCCGTTGTACGGATTTTAAAAAACAAATCCTTGGACTTATTTAAAAGCAAGTCTGTTTCCTATTCATCTTTAGTGTTTTTTGCTGCGGTCTATGTGTGTGAGGCAGGAGTAGCTGAAAGGGTTTTACTTACACTGGTCATTTTGTTGGTAGGACACAGCTCAGCAAGTGGCCCCAAAATAATTTTTGACTTGAGTTGAAAACAAAATTTCAGGAAATAATTTTTTACTTGAGTTGAAAACAGCAATTTCTATGTTGCAAAATAGTGTAAGATCGACAGGGACTGGGTGTTTTTTTCCCCCCATCGCCTGTGAGAGCTGCTGCTGCTGCCCTCTGGTGTCCAACACGAGCTCCTGGCGCCGTGGTGTGGCTCCGGCGGTCACATACGGTGTGTGGTTGTGGGGCAGACGGACAGGTCTGGCAGCCTAAGGCCGCTCCCTGGCCCTCTGTGCAGGCCAGCAGGCCACAGCATGCTTCCCCCTCGACAACCATGCTCCTGTCCTCTTGCTTTTGCTTCTTTGATTCATCTTCCCCTATAGCAGTGGTCGGCAAACCGCGGCTCGCGAGCCACATGCGGCTCTTAAGCCCCTTGAGTGACTCTTTCACAAAATTAAATTAATAGCACATACCTAATTAAATTAATAACAATGTACCTACCTATATAGTTTAAGTTTAAGATATTTGGCTCTCAAAAGAAATTTCAGTCGTTGTACTGTTGATATTTGGCTCTATTGACTAATGTTGCCGACCACTGCCCTATAGCAACTGCCCAGGCCTAGCAGATGGATGTGGATGACATAACTGTGCGTTAGAGGCTGTATCACCCTGTGGTTAGAGCACATTGGCTCAATGGATAGTTTCGACCTGTGGACTGAAGGGTCATAGGTCCGATTCCAGTCAAGAGCACGTACCTTGGTTTCGGGCACATCCCCGGTAGAGGGTGTGCAAGAGGCACCTGATTGATGTTTCTAACTCTCTCCCTTCCTCTCTGTAAAAAAAATAAAACAAGGGAAGGGGCAGACAAGACAGATGCAACTTCCATGTACCTATCTGCTGGAGCCAGACTGGGCTCAAACCCCAGCCTTGCTGGTAAGAAGCTGAGACCAGAGTCGAGCATGTACCAAACCCTATCAGCGATGGGCATTAGTAAGGTGTACTATGGGATGTACAACACTTAAATGAAGAAGAGTGTATGAAAGGGAATAGTGCCCTTCTCATTTCAGAGTATGCTACCATATTTTATAAGAAGCACAAAAAGAGAAATCATGCATCATTACCACCACCGTCTCCATCATCACTCATTGGCAGCCAGATGCCCGCACACAAACCCATTGTCTGCCACCACCACCACCCACCCCAAGCCTCCGATCACGGCCCTGCCCCACGTTGCCATGGCGAAGCTTCCCTGGCGGGCCTCGAGCTCCCATCTCTGTGCTCCATTGACTTTAAGCCGCCTTGCTGGCACTCCTGGGTTTTCTGTGTGAGGTGCTTGACCAAGAGGTGGGTCAGGGTCTGGGGTTAGGGGCTGGAAGTGAAGTCAGCCTCCCAAGGCGATGAGGGTACTCGGGGTCCGAGCTGTTAGGATGTGGGCCAGGGTCTGGCGTCCGTGGGCACTTTGCACACTGCACAGAAGTGTGCCAGGAGGGACAGGTAGGCACGGAAATGTAGCAGGAGCTCTGCTGGACAAGCCATGCCAGCTGGTGGGTAAGTCTGTCTTCACACCCCATGGCCACCCCCTCAGGAGCAGGGCCCAGCCAAGCTCCCCATCCAAGCTCCAAGATAATGTTCATGACGTCATGATACGGAGTCTCCGTTCAAGAACAAAGGGTATCTACTTGATCCTGTCCTTCTGGGCTTTCAGGGGGTTTCTGAAGTGTTTTCTTGCCTGTGTTGCCTGGTTCTTAAGTTTATTCATAAGCACTTGACTTTCTTGGTTGCTATTGTAAATAGGGATTTCCTTCATCATGAAAACCTCTATCAGATTATTTGTATTTTCTGATTTATTTTTAGTCCATTTGACCTGTCTTGGATTGAGTATCTGCTATTATGTTTCTCTGCATTTTTCATTTTGTCTTCTATAGATAGCTTCTTTATAAAGCTCGCTGCCCTTTTAACCCCCTTAGGAACTTAATAGAGTTAGTCTTCTGGTCCTGTTGGTTGCCTTTGAACTTATACCTAATCATTGACCCTAGCCCCTATTTCATATTTAATCTTTTATTATCCTTTTTTCTTTGGTCAGTTTTTTTTTTTCTATATAAACCTTTTGTTATTAATTTCAGACAGAGAGGAAGGGAAAGGGATAGAAACATGGATGAGACACATCTATTAGCTGCCTCCTGCATGCCCCCTACTGGCGATTGAGCCGGCAACCTGGGCATGTGCCCTGACTGGGAATTGAACCAGGAACCTCTTGGTTTGCTCAACCCACTGAACCACACCAGCTGGGCTTAATCTAAACCTTTTATTTTATAATCCCAAAACTTGAATTAAGAAACTGGACCCCAAATTTGCTGACTAGCATCCAAGTTTTTTCTATCTTTGGTCAGTTTTTAACAGTGTTCTTTTGACCCCCAACTGTTACTTGAACTCTACCCTGAATTAGCTCAGTCTCTTTCCACTTTTCTTTCTTTCTCATTTCTAGTTGCACTTTGTCATATAAAATGTTTTTTCTCACTCCTACCTTTGCTTTACCCCCCGACCTGATAAACACAGGGTGGGGCAAAAGTAGCTTTACTGTTGTAAGTACTCAAAGCAGAGTTTTGGTTTTATTTTAAATCTTTATTGTTGAAAGTATTACATATGTCCCCTTTTTCTTTTATAATGGAAGTTGCATCGGTCTTGTCTGCCCCTTCCCTTGTTTTATTTTATTTTTTTAATATATTCTTATTTTTTTACAGAGAGGAAGGAGGAGAGAGTTAGAAACATCGATCAGCTGCCTCCTGCACACTCACTACTGGGGATGTGCCCGAAACCAAGGTACATGACCTTGACTGGAATCAGACCTGTGACCCTTACTCCACAGGCCGAAACGCTATCCGAGCCAAATCAGTTAGGGCCACATGTCCCCTTTGTCCATTAGCCCGCCCCTGCCCTTCACCAATCTATTGTCTGTGTCCGTGGGTTATGCATATACACATACAAGTTAATTGGTTGATCTCTTCCCATCTTGCCCTGCCTTCCCTCTGAGGTTTGACAGTCGGTTTGGTGCTTCTGCCTCTAGATCTATTTTTGTTCGTCGGTGTATGTTGTTTGTTAGATTCCACATGTGTAAGATCGTGTGACATGTCTTTCTCTGACTGGCTTATTTTGCTTAGCATAATGCTCTCCAGGACAATCCATGCTGTTGCAAATGGTAATATTTCTTGCCTCTCACCCAGCAACCTACAGCTGTGTAGTGTTCAGTTGTATAGATGTACCACAGTTTAATCCACTCACCAGCTGATGGGCACTTAGGCTCTTCCCAAATTATAAATTGTGCTGCTATGCTCTTCCCAAATTATAAATTGTGCTGCTATGAATATAGGTGAGCATATATCCTTTCTGATTGGTGTTTCTGAGCTCTTCGGATATATTCCTAGAAGTGGGATCACTGGGTCAAATGGGAGTTCCATTTTGGGGAGATTTCCATGCTGTTTTCCACAGAGGCTGCACCCGTCTGCAGTTTATTCTTATTTATTGTATTTTCCATATGAACAACTCTAAACCTACTTTTGCCTGCCCCTTATATTAAATGCTCACCACCAATCCTTTTGCTGAGGTTTCCCCAGTGATTTTTTTTTTTTTTTGGTTGAATGAAACTCATGTGCTAGAAGACTATTCGAAAAGAGCTGTCATGCACAGAATCCTGTGAATGCTTACATTTTTTTAAAACTGTTTTTCTAGAGCCTGATACTTTAGGAGAGCTCGTCTGGACATAGCAGCCTTGGCTCATACTGATTTGATTGAAGGTGGCTTTCACGTGCTCAGATGCTTGACTGCATCATATGCTTGGCAGTGTTATGTTGCAGATTTCTTCACTTTTTGGGCATTTTCGTAAAAGGATGGATTCCTTACTTCTGTTATAATTCTGTGTAAATGTAGGCTGCTTTTACTATTTTCATGGGTTTGAAATATTTACAATTCCTAATGTAAAAGGATCTTTTTATGGCCGTGTACTCATGTATACTTTTTCAATTTTTTATTATTTGGGGATGGGAATTTTAAGGCCTGAAATTTCCCTTCTTTTTCATTTTCCTTTATGATCTGGTTTCCAAAGGGTGTATCTCTCTTCCTCCGTATCCTTTTCTCCCAAAAGCAATGCCTCTCACCCAGCCACCTTGATGCACGCACACTGAAGTCCCTTCCTTGGGTCACCTCTGATGTACCAGGACACTACCATATTTCATACCTCAGGTTGGCATTCTTTCCAGTAATGGTTTCAGATCAATTATTGGCTCCATCCTCACATCCATACTGTTTTCTAGGGTTTGTGCCCAAAATGTGTCATCCAGCTCTGCTGAGATTTGGTATTAACATTTGTTTTACTTACAGGTGATATGAAGGTTATATAATTTTCTGTCTTCTCACTAAACTGAGATTCGGGGTTTTGCTTCTTTTTCCTGCCGATCTGTATTGCTAGCTACTGCATTAATCGAGGCCACCTCTTTAGAACAGTACTTGGGCACAACTGGAGAAAAGATGGCTTTTTCTCACGACTGCGGTCATCTTAGTGATGCAGAAAGATCTGAGAGACAAAATGGGGCACATTCTCTGCATACTGTGAAAAACACTAAGAGGCTGATTTATGATAGGATTTTCAGGGCAAAACACACACGAAAAGATTTAAGTATTTGATTTGGAGAGTTTAGTTGCATTCAATTTGGATTTTAAACAAAGTATCAGGGTATAGAAAATAAAAGTATCTTCCTAAGCTCTGCCTAATACTTTTAAAACCCACCATTTACCCAGAAACCCCAGAAGAAGTAAAGGTTTTATCACACAAGCTTTCCCATGTTTGACAGATGAGGGAACCAGAACCCAGAGACTTACAGGATTTCGTGGTTACACAGTTAGCTTGAGTAGAGCCAGGGGTAAAACACTGGGCCTCTAACTTTGCCTGGTCAGAGCAGTTATCACTTGTTTGATCATCTTCCCAATTTTGCAACCTAAGGCAACTCCTTGATAATAAATTACTAGGGTGAAATGCTTTTTAGTGTTATACTTCAAATTGATTTGCTCTGTAAAAACAATGTCAGTTGCTTGTCTAAAAGTAGGTATCTTTTCTCCACTAATGACCTATCTTCATCTCTCCCCACAGAGGCCAGTTATGGGATGGATGGGAAGGTTAACCTTCCCAGTCCCACTGCAGACATCGGCAGGCAAGGCCTGGAGGACTTATTCAGCATAAAGGAAAGCAACTATGAGGACAGACAGAACTACAGACTTAGTCTGGCTGACCGGACTAATGACTTGGAGGACGTAGATAGAGTATTTGCACTGCTGAACAGTCACCACGAGCCAAATAGAACAAGTAAGATTACAACTGCTTGACGTGATGGGCTCCTGGCCGTGTCTGCCGAGCCCTCTGTGCCGGCGGAGATGGCCTCTGCTGAGTCAGATGAAGACCCAGGCCCTATGGCTGAGGAAGCCTCTCCTTTGACATTGCCAGCCAACCTTCAAACCCTGCATTTGAACCGACCAACATTCAGTCCGGAGAGTAGACTTGAATGGAATAACGACATTCCAGAAGTTAGTCGTTTGAATTTTGAACACTGGAAAAATCATAAAACTGACCAATGGATGGAGCATGAAGAGATGAGTTGTCTTGAACTTGACCTCAGTGGTGGTGACATGCCAGAGCTGGAGCCCATCAGCAGGCACCAGAAAGGCCTTCCCCAGGAGGGTGGTCCAGGAGATGATCCCAAAGGTCAGCTGTATCTTCCTGTGCGTTCTGACCCAGAGTCCACTCCTCAGACGATCCAAGTGCCCACCTTGGAGCAGCCTAGTAATGCCAGCGGCATGGTGAGCATGTCTAACGAGGTGGAGAAAGGTCACAGAAGGGAGACTGATTAGACAAAATTGTTACCTTACCCTAAACACAGTATTAACTTTTTATCAGTAAACTAATCAAGACAACCAAACTTCCAAGCTACCCTAGGGTACCTACCAGCCGGTGCGCATGCAAGCGGACGCACAAGGAACCAGTGCTGTCAGGCACTGTGTGCCAAGGTGAGAAGGAAAGGTAATTTGTGGAGTTTTGTTGGTTTAGTGGATTCTCAAACAGTATTAACTTTTGAAAGTTGTAGAGACATGCATCTACAAATGCTATCCAACCAAGATGGCTAGAATTGTGCCTTCCTGCATTTCTGAAACTGGATGTCCTCGGTGAAACTTTCAGCACACTTTCCACTGCCTGCATCATGTGGTTCAGATTCATTTTTAACCACTGGAATTTTTCAAGGCCATCACTCTCACTTAGGTCAATGATTTTGCACTTTGAGATCTAAATGCCATGTCTGTTTGACTAGTTGTTGTTTTAACTGGCTTGTCAGTCTCACTGCTTGCTCTCAGTGTGACAAATTAAAATAGACACTCCCCCACCACCACCAAGGATGACACAGTGTGGATCCCATATTGTTTAACATACGCTTTTGCCAGAAAATATTGCATGTGGTTTCCCTTGACTTGCTAAAATTGATTAGCAAAAAAGCATGGCTAATGATGTTAGCAGCAAAAATAAATAAGCAAAACAAAGCTCTCTCTGTGCCTAGCCTCAAAGTGTTCATCATATACTTAAGATAGCTAAATTTTTATTTTCAACAGGATAAAAGGACTGAAGATTCTCTCCCCACCCCACTTTTGTTTTGTTTTCTTGGCCTGCCTAGTAAGCTTAAGGGTTGAGAAAATATATTTTGTTTTGAATTTATATAAGGAATTTTTCCAATCAAACACTCATGAATGTTTCATAATGTAAACACCTGTATGATTAAGACCTTCACCAAGTTCTGATTTTTAAAGGCATAGTTCAAAATGTGTTCTTGAAAACATTCTTGTTGTGTATTAGGTTTTTAAATACCAGCAAAAGGATTACCTCATTGAAAGTTACCAGTAATCTAATCAACTTCCCAGTAATAGCTTAACAGTAATTTTCCTTTTTCAAATAAAGAAAACATAATTTACCTATGTGTTTTACTTAAGTGTTTAAGGTAAACTCTTTTTAAAGATAATTTACAATGGTATAGCTGAATCTTCGATAACTTTAAGTCCTTATTGTAGACTCTGTACATATGTTAAAATTCACTAGCTCTTTATCAGATGTGTGTGCCACCGGCTGAATGACAGGAAACATATTTATGGTCATGAATGATATGCTTTGTAAAAAGGCTTCAAGTTATTAAGAAGCATACTGTGTTTTCTTTTTTAAATCTTGTGTAATATTCTGTAATACTTTTATAGAACAATTCTGGCTTCAGGAAAGTCTAGAAGCATTATTTCTTGAAATAAAAGGTGTTTAAACTTTACCTGTTTCAGAGAAATGAACTTGACCAAGTTCTTGAGGTACACCCCTGAGTCCTGATCTCAATTTACATGTTTGAATAGTAGCCATAGCAGTAAAACTGACCGAAAGTCCGTGTGTTACAGAACATTCTCAGATCAGAGATCACAGCGTAGATTTGTCTCATTGCTATCAGGTTCTTTGGGGACCATGGACTTTGGGGAGACCTAACGACCCTCCAAAACCGAATTTTCTGAATGACAGAGTCCATGCTCTTCCTGCTGCTCCAGATTTCCTGAGGCCCTTTCCCCCTCAGGAAGAGCCGCCACCGATTCATGTCCAGAAATCAAAACTCTCTGGTAGTAAAAGGGGGGGAAACAAAGGACTGTGGGCGCTGCCAGTTCAGTCCTCGGCTAACTGAAGAAGCCCTCTGTATTGTTAGGGCTGCCATGATAGAGCACCACAGACTGGCTGCCTTAAACAACAGAAACGTATTTGCTCACCGTTCTGGAGGCTGGAAGCGAGACCTGTCGGCGGGGCTGGTTTCTCCCGAGGCCTCTCTCCTTGGCTTGCAGATGGGCCACCTTCTCCCTGTGTCCGCGCATGGCCTTTTCTCTGCTCGTGCACCTCCTCTCTCGCACCCGTCATGTAGGGTAGGGCCCACCCTGATGGCCTCATTTAACCTTAGATACATCACATTGGAGATTAGGACTTCCGTATGTGCATTTAGAGAAGGCCCAATGCAATCCACAGCCCCACCGTTTCATCAAGAGTCCCAGGTAATGGTGTCATCCAAAGGCACATCATAGTGCCCTCTTCCTGTTCCTTTCCTGTAAAATGTGGCTAGGCCAAAGGTTACTCTCCTGGAGAAAACTATGTTTTAGTTCAATTCGATAACTGCCGTGGGCCAACTGTGTAAAGGGCCCTTAGAGATTGGCTGGCAACTGGCCTCATTGGATCTTGGAGGAGGCTGATCCCACCTGCCCATTCCATACAGACATGGAAGAGGAAGAGATCAGCAGAGGCAAAGGCCAGCCCCTCCCCACTTTCTCAACACACAGGTTCATGCACATTCTCTCTCCCCCTCTTTCTCTCACACACATACCAGATTAGGGAAGAAAGGCCATTAGGGAGACCCCATTTGATTAGGAGTAATAGAACAATGACCATGAAATCAGACCTACCTTCATGGCAAACTAATTTTCACTATCTGTGTGAGCTTGGAAAAGTCACATAACCTCTTGAAAACAGCTTCCTCAATTGTAAAACAGGAGGTTTGTTTTAAAATAGAAAATGCAGAGCATACCGTATTTCCCGGCGTATAAGACGACCTCCCTAATTTTACAGTTAAAACATAGGTTTAGGCCTATATTCGCTGTATAAGACTACCCCCCACTTCCGAGGCAACACCAGTTCTTTTTTTTAATAGACCGCCTCTCTGACTCTGGCCAATCTAAGCAGGCTTTTTTTCGTTTCAAAGGTCGTCTTATACGCCGGAAAATACGGTATGTGCTTTCTTTGCACAAAATGTGCCTAGGGAAGACAAAGTGTCTTCACATTAGCAGCCATTAAGCCAGAGCATCCATGCCCTTGGAGTGTCAGTGCCACTTCTGCCTCTGCCAGCTACTACCAACACTGCAGATCTGGTGTTGGCCTGCAGGACAGAAACCGGTCTTATCCAAACCAGAAAATGACTCTCCGAGGCTCCTCCCAGCTTTCTATAAAGAAATCACCTGTAACCACCAACGTCTGCAGGGTGTTTTAAGAACGAACGAATACTTGTCACTCCCATTCCATGCCAAACATACTTTTAAGAAGTTAAAAATAAATGCTTATTTTTCAGGACTTGCTTTAGAGCTGATAAGGCCTCAGATATAAGGTCTTCCATTTCTCACATTAGTCCAATTTTGCTTGATATTTTCAAATTTCATTTGAATCTTCAGGTGATAATCAAAATATTTTGGGGCAATTAATACCATGATGTGGTCCACTGGCCCAGTTCATTTGGGTATGAACTTACAGAAGCTGCTATGGAAGCTGCAATAACCGCCTTGACCCTTTTCCCATCTCTAGCCTCTCCCACCCCCAACACATCCCACACTCACTGCCAGGTGAGCCTGTCATTACTGTGGCTCAGATCTCAGCCTTTGACTCGGAAATCTTCAGTGATTGTTTAACATCCTCTGTTAGAAGCTTTAGCCCAAGCATGTCAAACTCAAGGGCTAACACGGGCCACATAAATAAGGCATGTGCCCCTACAGAAATCCCACCCATTCTTCAATCCCATGTTATTTGAAGTTTTGCTTTTCCTTCCCATGTAAATTTCCTTGTTCTCCTCCAACCCTGGATATAATATCTCCTCCATTTTACACTGTCCCCCGGATAAAGAAACACCAATGTTTTATCAAGTCTGGGGCCAATAGTGTGAAAATAAATGGCCACATGCATAACCTTGTTCCTTCCCCCATTTCAGACCAAGAAACTTACCTAGTTCCTCTTGAAGGGCTGGCTCATTAACTTACTTGGACTCAATCCCTCTTTGCTCCGGTGCTTGAAAGGAACCAGGGACATTTGGGGAGAAATTGGATTGTCTGGCATCAGGGCAAAAACTCAGGGGTGGCTTTCTCCCAGTCAGGGGTGTTTGCAGGGGTCATTGTTCCTATGCTGAGACCCCCACCTTCGCAGAGCTGACAGGTAGCCATATCCGAGTCTCCATCAGCCTGGCCCACACTGTTCGCTCTGCTCTAGTGATTCCCTGAGACCCTATCCCGTTCAATTTGCAGCCCACTCAAGCTGTTTGCCATATGAATGGCCTGTCCTGGCTCAGGCTTCAGACTTTGCTAAAATCTTTCAAAAAAGCAGTAGCTGGCATCAGCTTACCCCATACCTATTAATCAAAGACCAAAGACCCAAGACCTAGCACTAGTACCAGCCTGCCTTACTTCACATCTGTGCCTCAGCTAGGCACTCCAAACCCAATACAAGTAGCAGCCATCTGCAGACATCTCTGTAGCTCCTGTGGGTGGCCCCAGGCAGTGGTTGACTATGAACTTCCCAGGAGACCCCAGAGCCAGTACATCTGAACATACCAACTTCAGAACATACCAGATTACAATTCTACACATCTACAAGCAACTCACTCGGGAAGGGGCAAACTTTGTGAGTACCAAAGCTCCATTGAAGCAAGACCTGCTCCAAAGGAGTGTCTCTTGCATAGCTGGTCCTCACAGCCAATTGGCCTCAAGGTCATTCCTCCCAGTGATGCCAACAGCAATCAAGGCTCAACTCTAAGACTGTGCACACAGCCCACACAGGGGTACCCCTAGAGTGCCCAACTCAGATGACTGAGGAGCTGAGCCACTGGGCCCTATAGGACACCTACTACACAAGACCATTCTACTAATTATCAGGAGACATAGCCGCTCTACCTAATGCATAGAAACAAACACAGGGAAGTACTGTAGCCAAAATGTGGAGACAAAGAAACATGTCACAACTGAAAGAACAGAAGAAATCCCCAGAAAATGATCGAAATGAAATCAAAGCAAGCAAACTAGACAAGAAAAAGGTAACAGAGTTCATCACCACCAAATCATTATTACAATATATGAAATGTTGAAGGGTATTCTAGAAGAGAAGAAGGAAAAAAAAACGATAGAAAATATAAACAATAAAATGGCAATAAATACATATCAATAATTGAATCTAAAGATCGAATAAATGAACAAGAAATCAAATGAACAAAATAAACTGATGAATAAAATAGAATCAGATGCATGGAAACATGGAACAGATTAAAATATCAGAGGGAAGTGGGGGAGGGTGGGAAGGGATTAACCAAAGATCTTATATGCATGTATGGGTTATCTATGGACACAGACAATAAGATGGTGAAGGCCTTGGGAGGGGCAGGAACTGGGTGGAAGGGAGAAAAGGGGAACATCAGTAATACTCTCAACAGTAAAGATTTAAACATCATCATAATAAAAGAAACTTACCTAATGTGACCACTGGTTAGTATTGGTCAACTCACCTCTTTGTGTTGTTGATGTTGAAAAGTTGGCCAGCATAATACCTTGGCCTCACAGCGAATCCAATGTTATATAGTAGATAGAATGACTTTCAAAAATCAGATTTTTTTTTCCTGCTGGGACATCTCTAACCCCAGATGTTAGGGAAGCACTGCAGACGGGTAGGTACAAAGGGAGCTACAGAGTTGAAGTCTTTCGTACTGAACGCCACCTCATTTTTCTGATGGCAAATGGGAGTGGTGGGCAAAGGTATCCACCTTCTGTTCTGAATTCCCAGGCCCCACAAGGGTCTGGCCTCCCAGGACTCTGGAGCAGAACCTGCATCCTCTACCCCAATCCTCTTCTCCCACATTACCTCCCAGCAACCAGTAGCTCACATGACCCAGAACCAGAGTGGAACCAATTCAACCACTAATAGGAGAGAGACGTCATCCACCTCGCCACCTTAAATTAATATGTATGCGGTTATCTAGGAGCCCCAGGCAACTCAAGCCCAGAGCCGAGATTAGCGGGGCATGTATTTTCCATATTGACCAGTAGATGGCACAGTAGTTCAACTAAAGAGATTTTGGCTGGGAGCCAGGACCTGGCCCCTGGCAAATCAGCCAATGAATTGATTTCTAAAGTAGCTTCACTACCACTCTGACAAGAACAAATCTAGAACCATCCAAGGCAGACTTGCTCTTTCTTGGGTGCCTAGGATCATAGCTAAGCCAGCAGGCCAATGAACTGCCTTAGCATTCTACTGATTTATGTGGCTATTACGAGTTGGAACTATGTCAGACTTTGACATTTAAATTCAAAAGTGAGCACCGAATATTGATTGCCTCGCTTTCTAATGACTCTGTGCAATTAAAAAATGTTTTTTGGCTCCCACAGGCCCTGTCTGCTCAGCGGACAGTTTTAAAAACAAGAGAGGAACCGGGTGCTTTTGAGTAGCTCTTAAAACGCTGAGGTCAGATTAAATCTCATAACCTTTCCTCCCTCGTTTCTC